AAGGAGGAGATGGGGGTTCCCCCTCCCCCGGCACCCACAGGGGGGAGGGAGGATTCGCTCCCCCCAGGCACTCCCGGGGGTAGAGGGGAGATGCAGGGGGCGCCTAGCTGGGGAAAGCAGCTGGGGGGACCCCCTGCAAGCACGAACAGATGGTGTTTACGTTGCACTGTTAGATCCCAGGTGCTGTACTGCGTAGTCAGCCTTCCCCCTGCCCCAGATTCAGCTACACGTGGGGCCGGATCTTCCTTACAGCTGCAGCCAAAATAGGTTTTTAATAAGCACTTACTGCACCCTTTCATCCCAGAGGATTCCAAAATGTGTCACAAGGTTACATTGGCCTCTTGCCTGCCACTGACCTGTACGCCAACTCTGGGGCAGGAGGTAGTAGCTATTTAACAGAACATTCTTCATCAAGAAGTGGGTAAGTGGAAAAGCAACATCCATTAACATTGCACTGCCAGAGGATTGCAAAATTGGGAAGGTTTTATCCCTAATTTAAAGATAGAAGAAACTGAGGTCCACATTATGGAGTTTAACAAATATCACAAATTTGTGACAGAGCTGGAAGTAGAAACTTGATCTCTTAACTTACAGTTCTGTAGACAACACTGATTTTCTTTCAAATGTATATTTAGAACATATACTCAGTAAAAGAAAAGGCACCTACAAGTCTAATCACTTCCTGGAGTCTTTCCATTAAAGTTCTGTTGTCAATGCTGTTCCTGGAAAACACAAACCAGGACTTGAATTATGTGCTAGAGCAGGGCTACTCAACTCTGGAAACTCCAGGGGCCATAATGATACTCACAGCACATGCTGAGGGCCACAACTTAAGTTATATAGCCAGCCAGCCCCCAGTTGCGAATGGTTGACTTACAACTGTTCACAGTTTTGACCAAAGCTGTTGTAAATGGTGGACTCTGAGTTACGAACGTGATCCACGCTTACGAACAGCGTGGTCGCATGTAACTCTATAGGGTCCAACTTACGAACAAACCAAGTTACGACCAATTGCTTGGTCCATAACCGGTTCGTAAGTCGGGAAGAGGCTGTATATGCAAATATATACAAATAGCTTCTTTCACACTGATGGGCATGATTACAAAGAGTAAGGCAAGACTACACGACACACAGGCCCCATTTAAGTCAGTTCTGCTAATATTAATAAAATGCAATATGTACCCCATTTCCACCCATATGACAGCACTTTTAATGTGCAACAACAGTCCAGAAATTTAACTACTAAAACACATATCAACAGAAGACCATTATATCGACTCCTTTTTTGTCTTGGTTCCCACCTGGGGGCCGCGTGTTGGGCCCCATATAAATCCAAACTGCACCACGGGCTGCAAACAAACAGGCTGTGGGCTGCACACGGCCGGCCCATGGGTTGAGTAGCCCTGTGCTAGAAAAAGCTGTAGTGTTCAGGGCCTTTACTATAAAAATATTATACTTTTCCTTGGGGAAGCAGCCATCCCTTTTGCCCTATGCAAAGTATTGCCATAATATATTATAGATGATCTATGAACTCTATGTTTGATATTCAGGCTTTCTATAAAGTTAGGATCATATTAGAAGAAAAAGAAATGACCAAAGAATCTCTAAAGCAAGACCTTCAACTGGGAAACTGACCTCAAGGGCAATCTTGGTTAATTTTCAGGCTTCCACCTCCATCAGTATCTATTTCTACAGCCATTAAAAGCAGAAATGCATAATTCACACTATAAACAGAAACATAGTAAAATGTCTTTTAATGAGCTTTCTTCTAGGAACATATTAAATGACGAGTCTTGCCAGTATCTGGGATTTTGCCCCAAATTGGCAAGTCTCAGCACAGATGAGGTGAGACTCAACTGTAGTTCATATCGTGAGCTCAGAAAGCTTGCAGGTAATTTGACAGCCTTCTAAGATAACACTGCAGAAGATATGCGGGAGGCTTCCCTGCTGTGGGGGAAAAGACTCCAGCAGCAGGACAATATATTGCTAAAATTAGCCATGTAGATCTTGGGTGAGTAGAGAGCTAATGTATCTTCTAGCCTGAGAATCCTGGAGGGCCTCCTGAGTACTCTAACAACAGGTAGTATTACCATGCAATAGAACGGAATAAAGGACTTCATGGTTATGTCCTGTACCACAAAGGGCTGGTTGTAGAATAAATATATAGGGATCAAGGAAAAAGCAACCCAGAATAAAGATCTGGGGAGAAAACCCCCAAAGTCCTGGCTCATAAACTGTTGTATGTTGTAATTCTGGTTCTAAAGAAAACTCTTGTTTGCAGTGTCAGAGCTCCAGACCATGTCTTAAGGAGATAGACTGCAGTGTCAGGTACTCTAACTAGATTTACAAGGCATAATTAGATTAGAGCTAGACACTTATTTTTTAATTAAAGTTAAGATTTTCACACAATTCCAAGAGCTGGGACTTGAAGAAAGACAGCAAATACCATGAGAATCAGTAAAATTATGAGAGATGATGTCATAATCGGGAGTGCTGACCAGCATCTGGTGACTAAACTCTGTACCTAGCAAGGTATATAGTGGTCAGCCAATAACAATGCAGATAGGAATTTCAAACTGGAAAAGAGGGGTTTTTCCTTTCTCTTCTGTGTTTGAGAATCAGAGCAGTTTCTTCAAAGTACAGAGGAAGAGATGGGAGACACCTCTCTCTCCAAGAACAGACTTCTTACAATGTGTAAGTAGGGAAAAGTTTAGATAGTCTGTCAGGATTTATTGTTTTCCTCATTTGAGGATGTGGAAATAATGTCTGAGCTTGTTACGTGTGTTTTTTTTCTTTTGTAACTAAGGCTTTTAGCCCATGGGTTTTCCCTGAGTATCTATATCAATTGGTGGCTCTTTCCATCTACCCAATTCACTGTATTTGCAGCTGTAGTTTTGTTTTGATAATAAAGGATTGTTGTCTTTTCTAATTAACTGGGATTGGTTGATTTTTGTGTCTTTAGGACTCAGTGCCTAGTTACAAGGGTTGAATCCATTGTTGTCTGTGAATCCCCTCTATTTTTCCCAACTCCAAGCAAAACAAAGGTTGGAGCAGGGGGGAATCTCTTCCCTGGTTTTCTTGGAATTACTTGGGTGGTGGCAGTGGATTCCCCAAAATGTGGGTATTAGGATTTTGGGAGGGAGGGGGAATTTTTGTATAAGAGCCTATAAAGGCGGGGTTTTGGAGTGCTCTGCATTCGTCATGCCAGAGTGGAGAACAGCCTTGACAGGTGGCAACACTAGTTATGGCAGGATGATGAACACTATAAAAATCCATGATGCTTATCAACAGTTAATCTCTCTCAATTACAGGTGTTAGGTGACCATGGCTGCAGAACTGATGAAGACTTTAAAGTGGTTCTGAAAGAGGTATACATAATTTCACCAATAAGTGTCCAGTCAGCTCCATACAGACTACCTGTTTTCATATATATCACTCATCTCAATTAATTACAATTTCCTAAACACAAGTTGTGGAGTCTGCTTGATTAAGTTGGAGTAGAGATCTATTACAGAAAACATTATTCAGAACTCAATCTTTATTTACAGAAACTTTCATAATGCTCAATGCTTCAGCAACTAGGGATATAGTTTATATGAACAGTGAAGAAGAGAGGTCAAACAATTTGCTGAAAGTCAGAGGAAGGCAATGTTTGTATAGAATTGAAACACTCAGTTCTGGTTTCCCTCCTGTGCCCCAACACTCTCTCACACTTGGACATCAATGATGTGCTGAATTGACATAAAATTTAAAAACTCCCTACTGATGCCTGAGTACCATGTTGGATATTCTGATGAGCTCTTTTGTTGACAAAGGCCTGAAGTTAACACCAACATTTATTCCATGACAGGGGACCCAACACTCTCTCTTTTTTTCTAATTTTCCCCCATTTTCCTTTTTTGGAAAATATATGTTTCAAAAGATAGTACCATTTCACCCCAAAGGCTCCTGCAGCACTGTGCACACTGAGCACAGGTATCACTCACATGCCACTGAAATGCAGCCATTTCTAGGGTGGGAAAGTCTGCAAAATAGATTAATATTTATTGCACCATTTTACCTGTTTGGCCATAGAGAAACCAAGAATCTCTTAGTATCAATGCCCATCAATTTCAGGGCAAGATTGAAAAGAAAATGTCAAGGAAAAAACAGGATTAGAAATGCATTCACACTGAAGTTATTCTGAAATATGCGGGGTTTACAATATCCAGTTTCTGCCTTTAGCAGATATTGTTAAAAGCAGGAGCTCTCTACAGGGCATTTTAAAGAGAGGATTCCAAGTGCTAAATAGGCCCGAAGAAAGATATTTGAAAAGAAGTTACTCCTCTCTCTGGTAAGTACCTGGCTTTTTAGGCCCAGGATGATGGAGTAGACCAGACATAATGTCCACACCTTCCAGATTATTTTTCTACTTCCTACTTTCATGAGGGTATCTTAAAATTAGGCTCCAGGGCAGTTAATTACATTGGAAGAGCTGCCTGAATTTACTATTACTATGGTTGCTTCCATTGTTGTGACAGCATAGTGCATTACAACAGCACTTGTTAATGACCCTCATCTCTTTGCAACTGAAGTCCTTTACTTTGGACAAAACTCATTTTGCCAGAACATACTCAAGTGTGAAAATTCTGGCTTGTCTAAAGATAGGGAACTAAAACTGTATGTAAGCCCCTAATAGGGAGCCTGCTTTTCCAAGATGCTGAAAGTTTGCAGCCTCAGTTAACATCAGTGAACCTCCTTTAGGTATTGTTTCTACTGTTACCCATGCCCTTTTAATGACTCATTGAAGGCATAGAACTCCAGAAGGTGCATATGAGCAAAAATTATCATTTTGAATCATGAATTAAACTTTTATTATTACTGCCAGCTTTTAATTTCTTAAGATTGTGCCACTTATTCCTAGATTCAGGAAGAAGTGCAAAGAAGAAAACAATTAGCTCATCAGTCCATGGCAAGAAAAGCCATAATTTCACAATGTTACAAACCAAAGCATCCAGAAGTATATGTTCTGCAGGTAAAGTACATGCTGCTTTGAGTCTGTAATAGTGCAGATAACAAGATTGTGCATTTCTTTGTGATTTAAATATTTTTGCATGTTTATATGTAAACCAGCTGTGGTCCCTAGACTCAACTTACATTTTTACTGCTGCTTGCAGTGTAGCTCTTTGAAAATACCTGTTCTGCATGGTCAGAGATGAAGTAATTGTTCATTAGTTTTATTGTTTTTTCTTTTTTTCTCCCCACCTAATACAAGGATTCATTTCTGGCACCAGAGTTTTTAGAGACAGTGAAGTACTGCACATCACAAGATGCTGATCTCCAAGGCCTCTTGCGATGCATTGATTCTATATCAGGTAAAATTAAAGGACCTCTCACTACTGTAGTTAGAGTCACGTTCTGATACACACAAGTTGTTTCAGGGGTGAATTATTTTTTCCAAACCAGTTCTTTAATATTGTAATTTTGAAAAATGTCAGAAGACAATTAGGAAGCTTTCTTCTGTATGATCAAAATTCTTGAGAGAAGCAGCATAGTCTATTTGTTAGAAACAGGCAAAATCTTGGCCCCTTAAAGTTAGTGGCACAAGTCCCATTGGCTAGTATTTCACCTCTGGGATCTGTTTTGTTTTGCCACTGACTCAGTATTTGACCTTCAGCAAGTCTGTGCAAGGGACACTGTATTGTTGGATTATTTTAAATGGGCTATTTCCCAAAATTACTATTAAGTAGATCCCCCTTTAAATTACATCTTGAATATATATTTTTTAAAGTTCAGTGTTTTTTTTCTGTTTCCTTGTTAATGTTTGTGGAGTATTTCCAATTTATGAGAAGCGGATAGAATATACAGGAGAAGAAACTAGAGTATAAGTGACTTTTTCAAGCTGTCAGTGTCCCAGTTCCCTCATTTTTAATACTCATCCACTTTTTATGCAGATCTTTAAGGCAGAATGCTGTAAGTGAGATGTATTGTATTCCTAAGAGAAAAGGTCTAATTGACTGGCATCAAGAGTCCTTAGGAGTGATGTCCCGCCTCCCACAAAATGCAATGCCTCAAATAATTCTGCTTCACACCCCCTGGTCACCTTGTCTCTCAAATAGTTTTAGCTATTGGACTGGGAAATCTGGGAACACAGGCTTTCAGTTTCCAGCATTAACTTTCCAACATTAACTGCCCCAGAGTCCATCTGCTCTGTAGCAATGACTGTTTAACCACCAAAACATGCAATTAGTCTTATGGAGGCAATGTTCTCTATGGTACTGCTGGGGAATCAAGTTATTGTTAAGGATAGTCTCTATTGTTACTTTACTTAATAAGAGACACCTTTTTCTTGGTCAGATAAGAGGATATATCGACTTCCAGTGTTCAGCAAGGAATTCTGCCGACTCTTCATCGAAGAGCTGGAGAACTTTGAGCAATCTGAAATGCCCAAAGGCAGGCCAAACACAATGAATAACTACGGGGTAGGACAAAGCTTTGTATGGCTAACCTTGTATGTGCTATTACAGCCTTTAGAGTGAGTGACCCATATCAGATGTGCATGCTTCAAGGTCCATTCCCCTCTAAGATTTGGGTGAATCCATAACAGACTCAGTGCAACCTCAAATGCAGAGACACTTGTAAATAAAAGAACACTGGGCTGAGGGAGTTAGTATACCCACACTTCTTAATTAATACATGTGTGGGTGGGTGGGTGGAAGAAGGCTGCAGGGAAGAGGATAGGATGTGGAATCTGCTTTAGTGGAATCTTGTATTTAATATATAAAATAAAAATAAACCAATTACTGGAAAGTTCAATGGTAAAATGTTAGCATCCTGTATTTAAACAACACTCAGGAAAGTAGCACAGGCTATACTAGTTAGCTAAGATGGCTGCTTTACAGAGATATATCCCAGGGATCTATTTATCCTAGTGATAGTGAACGGCAATGACTGCTGCTTAATTGTGGCAGCATTAGTATAAGTGGGGACACACTTGATATTGCCAAGGGGTTAATTGGTGTTTAACCAGGTGTCAGTGTGGTAGATGTAATTCTGCTTTGAATACAGAAGCTGCCAAATAAAGTTTTATAAAAGAAAGATTAAATACTGTACATAATATTTAATGCAATACTGTATTCTGTTCCAATCTATTTTTAATAAGTATTTTCATTTGATGTAGGAGATTAGTTATCAGGGTTGAATTAAGACCGTTAGAGGCCCTAAGCGCTGAAAAGATTATGGTGCCCTCGCATATGTAATTCAAAATAAAAACAATACTATACCGTAAAATAAAATTTTATTTTTCAAAATGACACAAAACTTACATGTATGTTGAAATTAAAATAGCTTCTTTCTAGATTTTCTGATTGCAAAATTCTGGATAAGTTCATCAAAGCTGACTCGACGAAGCATGTCCGCTTCCATACACAATAGGGAAAGTGCCAATCTAGACTCTCTGTTCCGAAAATGCTTTTAATGGAAAACTTTTCCGTTAAAAGCATTTCTGGAAAATCATGCCAATGTAGACGCAGCCTTGCTGTTTTTCTAAAGGCCTGGAGTCAATTGTTTATGTAGGAATCTCAGCTTTCATTTACCAAAAGTTCTCTACTTCTGGGCCTTACAGCTAAGGAGGAAAGCTTTAAAACATGAACTCTAAATACTCAAGAAACAAAAGGCCAATAAAAATCCAAATGTTTTATTTTTAAATAATCTTATGATTTGTAGACCATTCTCATAACTTTGTTAGGCGTTCCTTCTGATTTTTGGGTTGGCAATACTGCTCTTTGGTGAATTTACAGAGGTCTCTCCCTTCAGTTTCCCTTTCCACCCTCCTTTTTTGTTACAGGGCATCAGAGAATCATAGAGACAATGGAGAGTAGGGTGAGTCCATGACTATGGTTAATGACTGGTCAGGGTGACTAACTATTATCAGCCAGTGGTCTGAATAAGCTATCTACTGCCATCTGATAATCAACTGTAGGAAAAGGCTTCAGGAGCAGACCTTATTTATATAGACAACCTACTTTGCCACAGAGATCAGTAGACACACTTGCTGTGTCAAGGTGATCAATTTTGGCTCTTTTGGGTTGAAATTCACTTAAGACTTGGAGCTGGGAGAATGAAATGTTCTTATCCATATTGTATGATTAAAAGGTAAAAGACCTGAACTTAATATGACCTGGCTTAGGGTCTACCATAACTTGAACACTAAGCAAAGGATAGTGAGTCACATCTAACTGAAAGTCACAGAAGATGGAAACAGGTTTTATTTCTGGTCTATTTGGGAGTCCTCAATTATATCTGACATTTTACATCCAGTGTTTAAAGGCAGAGCTGACTAGAATCAATTGAGAGTCCTTGTCTCGTCTCAGTGATTGCTTGAGCAAAAATCATTGATAAAATCTTGTGTAGACTGACCTTGGACTCAACATGCAGGCAGTGTGTTGAAGGGCAGTGCAAAGGAGGCAATGCTGGTGAGGTACCATATTACCTAGTGAAATCATTGGTGCTCTGGAATTTGACCAGAGAACTGTCACTTTCTTAACAAAGACTCCAGTCTTGCCATTTAAAAAGTAAATCAATGAAACAGAAAACTGCAACACTCTCTAGTAACTTTTTAAAAATCAAGCTTTAAACTTTATTGAAAAAATTGGATAGTTTGCAATTGAAAATATTTGACCTACACTTAAGGCAACGGATTTAATTTTGTGTAAAATTTTGCGTAATAAAGGATCAACTACATTTTGATCAAATCTACTTCTGATGTGATATATGTGTGTGGTTGTGGTTTGTGTGGGTGCGTGGTTTTTTGTTTTTTTGTTTTGCTCTGCTCAACCAATAATTCTGGGTGGGTGGGGGCCGCCAAAGTGGTTCAAATTGGGCCCTGCACTTCCTAAAGCCAGCCCTGCATGAGGCCTTCTGTTCCTAGCCTTTTCCTCTCCAAGAACTACAAGTCCCAGTTTCTCTTGTCTTGTTGCATAGGTGCAGCAAATTTCTGGAGTCTGTTGCTGCTGCTTTGAGATACAATTCCCTCCTCTAGAACGTCATCTCAAAACAAAGTGCTTGTACACTGACCACCCCATTGCAAGCATGGCCTCTCAGTTGTTGCTGTGGCTGTGGAACAACTTCAGACACCTGGGACTTGATACTTCAAGAACTACATTTTATATATTAATTTAGTGCTTTTAACGGGTTGGGTTTTATAGCCTGAAACTGGAGTTCTGTTTAGCCTCAAAAGACAGGGCTCCTCTTTATAACCAACAAGGATAGCATGACTTAGCAGTAAAAACTGGCTTTGTATCTGGTGCCACCCTGCTGGTTTTGATCCTACTGATGCGCTGCAGGACATCATTGTTCATTCTGAACTCATTGTCCCTATTATAGTGTGCGTCTTTGCTTCCTAGTTTTGTATCCAGGTAAGCAGCAAGGCTGGAAGAGAAGGAGACTACCAGGAGGCTCATTAGTGTATGTGATGAAATAGCAGAGGTGACCATCTTGTTTTTTGCTGATCGTTCCTTGTACATTCTCTTTGATGCAGGTTCTGTTAAATGAGCTTGGATTGTATGAAGCTTTCATTACACCTTTGCGTGAAAAGTATCTGCAGCCCATAGCATCCCTGCTTTACCCTGACTGTGGGGGAGAGTCCTTGGACAGCCACAAAGCATTTGTGGTCAAGTACTCACTACATGAAGATCTGGATTTGAGCTCTCACTATGATAATGCAGAAGTCACATTGAATGTATCCCTAGGAAAAGAATTTACTGAGGGCAACTTGTATTTTGGAGACCTCAGGCAGGTACTGAGAATTTGTCTCTAACTTAGCCCTGAATCCCATTCCTCACAAAATTCCTGTCAGAGGTGCAGCATCAGGCCCTTAACTTTGTTTCAGGAACTTGGAGTAACTGAGTTAAATGTGACACCAAGTAGCCTTATGCTTAAAATAGAGGGTTAACTCTCACAGATCAAACCTGGCCATTTTCATTGATAGGTTCATAACATCAAATAAACCAAATTAGAATAAGCTAGGTAGTGGGAATGGTGCTTGTAGGGAGCTGTATTTTTAAAAAAAGATCATATAAAAGGTCGATTAACTAAAATTAATTGTCTGCTTCTGATGGAGTCAGGACTATCTTCACCAATTTTCTGTGTACTGAAATCTTTACTGTAGTGAATTAATCATAAATATTCAAATAGACCACATAGATAACTCATGTCAAAGGAGGGAGTTAAATGCTCTACCTTCTTCCATAATTAAAATGATCAGAAGAACTCATTTTGGAGGAGTGGTGAAAATGCTTTGAAGACTCAAGCTGTTTCAGTCTTTCACTTGAGAGAACTAAAGCCCAAGGCACAAATAGAACCCAGGTCTCCGGAGTTGCAGATTAATGCCCATACTCATTGGCTGTGTCGAGATTGGCCAGTTTTTCCAGAAAATCAGCCGCTTTTCCGGAAAAACCTGCCAGCTGTCTACACTGGCCGTTTGAATTTCCACAAAAGCACTGACTTCCTACTGTAAGAAATAAGTGCTTCTTGCGGAAATACTATTCTGCTTCTGTTCAGGCAAAGTCCCTTTTGTGCAAAAGGGCCAGTGTAGACAGCTCAGATTTCTTTTGTGCAAAAAAGCCCTGATCGCGAAAATGGCAATCGGTGCTTTTTTGCAGAAAAGCACGTCTAGAATGGCATGGACGCTTTTCCACAAAAGCACTTTTTGCAGAAAAGCGTCCGTGCCAATCTAGACGCGGTTTTGTGCAGGAAAGCCCCGATCGCCATTTTCGCCATTGGGACTTTTTTGCGCAAAAGCATTTCCGGAAAAGGGCTTTTGCCCAAACGGGAACGTCAAAGCATGTGCGCAAGAAGCACTGATTTCAGACAGTAGAACGTCAGTGCTTTTGCGCAAAATCAAGCAGCCATTGTAGACAGCTAGCAAGTTTTTCTGCAAAAGCAGTTGCTTTTGCGGAAAAACTTGCCAGTCTAGACACAACCTTGTAGTTGCTAGACTTTCCAATGTACTTTTAGGAAGAGAGGGATAATAACTCCCATGTCCTGGCTAAATTGCTATTTGCATTGTTACAGTCTGCCTCTCTGTAGATTGAGCTGGGAACTGTTTGCTATCTGACCTTAACTAGCCAAACAGTTTAACAGCTGCAACATCTCATCCCAGAAGTGTCTGCCTTTCAGTTGCGTGTGAAGTAATCCCTATATATCATTTGTTAGTAAAACAGTTTGGGGTGAGAGGCACTACAATCAGGCTATTACAACTGCTTTAGAAAAAGTCAATAACAAGAGATAGTTTATGTAATGTAGTATCTGTCTTCTTATCTGTCTTCAAGGCCCCAACTCCAGTGCCAAAGTACGTGGAGATTGAACATGTGGTATCCCAAGGCTTGCTACACCGAGGAGGGCAGATTCATGGGGCACTGCCTGTCACCTCTGGGGAGCGCTGGAACCTCATTATATGGATGAGATCATCTGCTATCCGCAACCAGCTTTGTCCTATGTGCAATAAGAAGCCTGAATTAGTGGAGGCTGAGGAATTTGGAGATGGGTTTACAAGAAGTACTGAAGGTGACATGCCCCAGACTGTGGATTTATGCTATTTAATATAGCTGGTAAGGAGAGAACTTTCCAGTGTGAGCTGGGGAAAATTGAGCTTGAAGCCCCAAGACAGCAGGAACAAGCACAGAATAATTTTAACAGAAGCACCTGTCAGGTCAGCAAATGGCTTCCTGGAAGGCAACTCAAAAACTCTTTTTTGGGGAAAGGAAACCAATTTTTTGAGCAGCAGCCCCTGTTTGGGGCCTATTAGAGGAGCTGGTGGGGATTTTTTATAAGCATATTTTGAAAATGTAAAATGACTGAAGGCTTTGATTTATGCCATGAATTGCAGAGTTCATCTGTGTACAATCACAAGTTTAGAAAACAGCCAAAAAACCCCAGCTTAGATCTTACCAAGGCAGTTGCTCTGTTGGTATAAAGATAGTATATTATTGTATAATTCTTCCTTTTCAGTCAGCATCCATTCACCATTACTCCTGCCCCTCAACTGGATGGAATATCAAACTCCACTAGGGAAGAGTCTGTTGCTTCCCAGTGGATGGTATGCAAGACCTGCTCAGAATGTGACAATGTTGTTTTACCCAGGAGGAAACAAGCAATAGTACTGTCATCTCTAAAAGTCAGGGTGAATATATGATCCTATCAACTGAATAGAAGGTTAGACCTAATTAAGTATTTGAGATCAAACTGCTTCCAAAGGCTGCATCTTACAGGACAAACATAAGCCCTATTACTCTACAAGTGAGTGTTTAATTTATTGCCTTACATTATAACCCCAGAATGAAGGTACTAAAATAATTTCTAAAGACATTGTGGATTCCATATGAACAAGCAGAAATCAGCTGTATAGTGAAAGATCTGGGGGTTTTGCAATTTATGACGACAGATCTCTGGTATAAGGAGAAAGCATGCAGAAGTATAATAAACACTTGTAATCCTCTTCCATTCTGTACAATAATATCTAGGTAAGGGTGGCATACAGACTAAAATATCTCCAAAGGACATTCTGGTCCTTATATGACCAATGCAAAGGTTTGAATTCTTTAATTTGGCACAAAGATCCCACTTCAATGAGTATATTAGAGAAAAATTAGATAGCCACAGGCAGGGTCTGTCTCATTGCCTGATAACTGGTGATATTAATTCAAAGCTTCAAGCAAGAAAAAAAAAAAAAAAAAAAGCTAGAAAACTGATATTCAAGAAGCCAAAATATCCTTTTGATTTCGTTGCCTCACATGACTCCCAAAAAACTAGATGTGTATTAGGAATGTTACCTACCGGTTAACCGAATAGCTGACTAACTGCATGAATTCTTAGGAGTTAGTTGACTATTCTATAGTCCCTGGGGATGGGGTCTGATTGCACTGGCTGCCGGCCCTATCCCACTCCCAAGGAGCCCCTTTCCACACTGCACTGCTGTCTCTCTATCAGAAGCAACAGTGTGGGGTGCCAAGTGGGAGCCTGTCTGTGAGGGGAGCCAGTTTAAAACCAGCTCCCCTATGCAGACTAGGGATGTAATAGTGTAGTTCAAGCATGTAAAACTCAAAGCCTATTGACGGCTGCACAAACAAAAACTGATAGCTTTCAGGGCCACCTAGGGTTCCCAGGTGGTTTGTTGATCAAAAAACAAAACAAAACACATTTTAGGTGCCAGGTGGAAGGTACCAATACCAGGCACATGGCTTTTAGGTATATTTTATAATATTACAATAATTTGATGCATACAATTATTTGCTCATATTACATAATTTTAAAATTAATTTTACATAATTTTTAATTTAAATATAAATGTAAGGTACTTTTAAATTTTGTATATGATACATAACTTGTTTTGTTGAAATAAAACTCATATTGGCCACTTTTGTAGCTAGAATACTGGACTAGACTAGAGGGTCCCATAGGCTGATTTGGCAATACCTACATTCCAAGGAAATCATATAAAAATATTAACACAGTACAGTTAGGTACTTAAAACTCAGGACATATAATAATTAAACTGAGACCCACAAATCATCCCCTTGTGCATGTATATATTATAGTACTCTTGATTCCATTCAATAGAAAAAACTGTATGCTATCATGTTATTTGAGAAACAGTATGCGAGACCATGCAATAAACACTGAATTGTATGCTTGTACAAGGGGAAGAGCTAAAGGGCTGTGGTCCAATGCCTCACCTCTCTTCCAGAGCCAGGCACTCCCAGCCCCCCCTTAACCTAATTCCTCCCCCAGATCCAGGCACCCCCAGCCCTCTCAAACCTAATGCCTCCCCCTTCCCCCAGAGCCAGGCTCTCCCAGGCCCAGCCCCCGCTTCCTCCCTTCCCCAATACCTGGGTCCCAGAGTCGACGTTGCCACATGAGGTGCTGGCATGGTGTGAGCACAGCGGCCAGCTGTGAGCGCTTGCTGTAGCACAGAGTGCCCTGCCAGCCATGAGCATGTGCACAGAGTGACCCCGCCAGCTGTGAGCAACTGCTGAAGAGCCCAGCACAGAGCACACAGCTGGCTGTGAGTGTGTGTGCAGAGCAGCCCAGCCAGCCATGAGCAGTTGCTGCAGTGCAGAGTGGCCCGGCCAGCTGTGAGCAGGCACTCAGCCACTTGCTCCAAGTGGCCAGTGGGCCACATTTTATTCTTTTATAAAAATGTTCTGGTGGGCCGCAAAAAATGTCCATCGACCCTCCAAATGCTAGTTTGACATGCCTGGTGTAGTTGATTAACCAATCTTGTTGGTTAATGCTATAGAGCAGTGGTCACCAACCAGTAGATCGGGATCTACTGGTAGATCTTGGAGCCTTTGACAGGTGATTCTGACAGGTTTGGCTGGGAGGCTGTAAAGTGCTGGCACTTTATCTGCCCATCTGAGCACTGCTGTGCAGCTCCTGCCCTCTGCCTTGGAGCTGCCCTTCCCAGGAGCCTCCTGCTTACTGTGTAAGGCACAGGAAGAAGAGGAGGGGCTGCTGTCAGGGTGCCCCTGCTCCCACCCTGTACTCCATCTTCACAGAGCTGGGGGAGACGGAGGGATGGAGAGACGTTTGCTGGCTGCTTTTGGGAGTGGTGCAGGGCCAGAATAATGGTGCCTTAATCCCCTGCACCACTACCTAGAAGCCACCTGTGCCCAGCTGGAGCCCGCATTCCAAACGCGGACCCAGATCTGAACCCTCCTGAACTCCAAACCCCTGCCCAACCCTGAGTCCCCATGCACCCAAACCCCCTCCTGCACCTTAACTCTCTGCCCCAGGCTCAGCTCAGAACCCCTCAGAACTCCAAGTCCTCTAGCCCAAGATCAGAGTCGG